TCTCCCCCCTCCCCTTTCTACATACCGCGCCCCTCCCCCGTCTCCCTCCCTCCCGCCCCTCTACCCCTCAACAACAACTCCCCATCATCCCCTCCTGCCGGTGTCATCTTACATTCCTCCTCCCCCGCACTCTCGAGCCGGGTGGGGGGGGGGCGTTCTTCTTTCTCTTCTTTTTTTTATTCCACCCCCCCCCCCCCCCACACACACACACACACACACACACACAATTAACCACAAACATCCAGATTTACACACAAACATTTAAAGCAAAATAAATGTAAGTATATGAGTAGATCTAGATATCTAAACCATAGCCCATGATATAAGAAGTTAAACAAAAAAGAGAATACAATCATAGACTTACAATAAGTGAAACGAATCAACAAGACAGAGACAAACGAAAAAACCATGGCTATAATCAATTAATTATTCTTTGGGGACGAAAAGGACAGTGTGTCTGGCTAGCAACAGAACAAAGGCAATTTTGTTGCATGCTTTCAAAACCATCATAATACACATATCTTCAGTAACATGAATCTTTGTAATATTACACTGAATGCATGTGTTTTGCCTACCCCGTTACAGTTTCAGATTGCAGTTTCAGACATTGAAAACAGAATCGAAAAAATTTGCAGGAATAAAAATAATAAATAAGGAAGCTATGCCTTTTTTGTTTGTTTGTTAAAGTATTCCAACACAACGCGTTTTCAGTAAGATAACGTTTACATCATGTGCGATAGTCACCAACCTGACTGTCCATTCCCAGGGTTAAGATCATGAAAAAGAACAGGAAGGCCCACAAAGAGGAGGCGGGGAGACGCGAAATGCCGTCTGGGTACGCGATGAAAGCCAAACCAGGACCTGCAGATGATATCATGAGTTTTTGGTAAAAATTACAGAGAAATAATAATAATAACAATAATAACAACAACAACAACAACAACAACAATAATAATAATAATAATAATAATAATAATAATAATAGAAATAATAATAATAATTATTATTGTTATTATCATTATGAAAAAATTAAAGCTGAAGATGAGCACAAAAATAAATTTTAATTAAAACCGATATTAAGCCCACTACTGCTGCTGCTGCTGCTGCTGCTGCTGCTGCTACTACTACTACTACTACTACTACTACTACTACTGCTACTACTACTACTACTACTACTACTACTACTACTATCAACTTACCTGTAGCAGTTGTTGTGGAACTTGTTGTAGGAAGACATGGTGAGCAACCCCCCGAATCCGATACCCAGAGAATAGAAAATCTGAGTGGCAGCATCACCCCAGATCTAGGTGGAAATGAAAAATATAAGTTTAACAAGTTTGTATAATATATAGTTAATGGACATTAGTCTGTTTATTTGAGTAGAGATAAGCATATTGAAATAATAATGCCATTACGTGCTGGAAAAAGTTTTAGTTTTAGTAGAGGTTTTACGGCGCTCACAACTGCATAAGGTCATATGAGCGCCAGAAGATTAGAGGTGTTACAAGAGAGTAACAAACATAAAGAAGAAGAATGGGAGAAAAGGATGACAGATGTTTGATAGAAAAGAAGGAGCAAACCACACCAGAGCATCCGCCAACCACCCACGAAACAAATTCGAAAGTTACAGAGATTATAATTTTTGGTGGTTGTTTTTTCTGAGTGATGGGTATTGTTTTCTTTCCACATACACAGCAAATTACTGATACTGATATGTTCTGTTTTCTATTTTTCTGTGCATAAAACATGAAAATCAGGAACATTCGTTTTGAAAAAGTGCAAAACATGTCGCGAACGGTGTTACGGTAACTTGCATAATTTTTGCATAATTTTGCTTTTTTTTGGTGCATAATTCGGCCATCTAAATTTGCACATTTCTACGGGGACAGATAAATTAATGAAGAAAAGTTTTTAATCTAGCCTCAAATGTTGTGGAAAATAATATGATAAAGTTAAAACAAATTAATACAAACTGCTGTGCAGAGTACATGTATGGGTGACAATGATTCAACTGTTAAAAAGATATTTGGGGACAAGTAGCGCCACGATTTTCTGACCTCTCTACAGCTGGGTACCCGTTAGATGAACAGACTCAAAAGAATCGATCGTCGAGTCATTGTCGAACCAGTGCGCACTGCTTGTGAACGGACACCTCCCTTATTTAATTGTTTACAATGGTGTCTTAGAAGACA